CTTTAGCTTTCAGTTGTATATTTAAATTTTTAATTAAAAGTTATTTTTGAATTCTGCCTTTTTATCCAAAGTTAATTAAAACAGATATAATCCAAGTAGGTTGTGATGAAATTAACAATTTGGGAGATTAATTAGATGTATGTAAATGGTCTTGAAGAAAAGAAAGTTATTGAGTTGTGAGCATTATTAGAGCTTTATGACCTCAGATGGTAGAATGTCTTTTGGTCAAAGGCTCTTTGCCTACATCCTTGCTTGCATTAAAAATATGTATGATGCCCTAGATTCATAAATAATAAAAGAGAATGAAATTTGTGACATAATTATTATTGCTAAGCCTAAGATGTCCCTTACAGCTACCTTGACAATGTGGCATGTTTTTCATATGTTGTCAGTATTTGAGAGCCCCAACTGTGTATTATTCATTTTCTTGTCAGAATTTTATGACAATTAAATTGATAATTAATTTTATAATGATTACGTGTTGTCATTTTGTAGTCAAGAGGTTGGATTGATCAAAATTAGGACAACTGATACTGGACCCATGCACATCTGAAGCATATATTACCAAGAAATTTAACATATTGATGTTTAAAATGCTATTACATTGCATTGTTACAAATACAATATCAGTTAATCTTAAATTATTTCTTTACCTACAGTGCTGAGATGACTCATGAGAAGTACAGAGATGATTCATGAGACATTTTTCATAGTTCAGTTTTCATCTATTATTTGCTTCCAAAAGGAATTTTTGCCTATTATTCACTATTGGAAAATTGCTATTTCTGTTGTATCACATGGAATATGTAATACTCTCCTTTGCATGTAGTGTTTTTCCAAACTCCCAAACAAACTCCCATTCCTCTGTCTGTAGCACAGATTCCAAAGTTTTAATTACACGAACAAAATAATTTCAAATTAGTGCATAACTTGAAGAATTATTAAAATAAAAATATTGGTAACTTACTATCTAAACTTTACTTGTAAATTTTCAAAACAGTGTTTTGAAACTTGCTTCTGTACTTGCCAATTAGGTCTGCTTTCTTCTATTATTTTTGATTGACTAATATTGTTGCAAACTGTGAAAGGTATTGAAATAATTACTACTCCTTTAAAATTATTATGCACTACTTTGGAATTGTATTCAAGATCTTGAATTTGATATTTTCAATTATCACCAAATAGTTAGAGGAAGACAACTACTCCTACAATAGTGCATCAATTAATTCATGATTAGCAATAGTGATCAAGCTATTAACTCCAGAAAATTAAATATTGATCCATTAGTAAACCACATTGTAATATCTGTATTAGCTATCTTTTCCGAAATCAATGAAAAAATTAATTTACTAAGAATATTTTGTCATAAAAACTTTTACAGATTTGGACTTGTTGGAAATATTACTTGGCTCATTAAGTCTCAATTAGAAAAATAGTTTTGTGGGTTTGGCAACAGTTAATTGCCTGCTAAAGTTTGTGTATTTTAATGAAGATTATAACAGACACACATGACATACATTTTCAGTGGTAGCCTGCATCATAAATTCAATTTGGAGAGAGTTGATATGGCACTCTTATTTTCTGTTCAACTTTTTTGCTGTAATTTACATCTTTAAAACTGAATACACTATTGAACCATTCAATATACTAGATGACTTGGTCATCTGTGATGAGAGATTGATAAAAGATTATGACTGTACCGTGAATCAAGTGCAGTATAGATTTAATAATTTTAAGTTTAGATCTTGATATAGGTTCTCCATCAGACCATAGTGGTTCATTGCGAACATAGCAGTTAGCAAGACAGTGAATTAAAACACTTTCCTTCCTTTCTTTTTTTTTCTGGATGTCTACAATGACATAGGTTTCATCATCATGGTCTGCTTTTATGAACTACATATTAAATGGATCTGCCTTTTTTACCATTATTTTGTGAATTTTCAACCAATTTATTTTGTTTCCTATGGTACCAACTTTACTATAAACAAAGTGTTCTTCTCTTACCAAAAATACTTACAAAGAATGATTGTTTAGGATCATATCTTATTCAAATGAAACAGAACAAAAGTAAGAAAAATAACCTGAAAAATACTGGAACTCCTGGAGAGAGTTATTTTAAGAGCTCTCTAAGAGGAGGATATAAAATAAAATATAGAAATTGGAGTGGTTACAAGGAACAGATTTAACAGAAATATAATGTAAAATAAAGAATGAGGAACCATTTCTCAGGATTATGACAGCTCAAGAAGACACAAATAATGGCATAAAGGAAGTAACAGAAGAAGTAATGGAGAAAATAGTTATGAGTATGAGAGAACTAGAAAAAAATGAACCAAGATAAAGAACAGGAAAAGTGCAGAATGAGATGGAATAAAACTAGAAATGATAAAATATGGAGGTTAAGAACTAAATTCCCAACTTCTAAGAAACTGTGACAACTAAAGAAGCATAAGCAAGCTACTAATGACAACAAACTTTTTTGCAAACTTAATAAGACAAAAACTAGTGACAATAACAAGAAAATAAATAATCTGGGAAAAGCAATGTAGATTATTCAAAGGCAATACTATACATGCTCACTATTGACGATACTAAATAATAGATACCAAAATCACTCGGATTGTAGAAAAAAGGAAAGACTGTATGATACCTATGTATATACTGATTATTGACCTATGTCAACTGAATATACATTAAGGGAAGTTTTGAGAGAAGAAAATATATCAGAGTATTTAATAAAAAATATGCAAAGCCTATATACTGAGCTATACCAGATTGAAAGGTAGTTATTAGAAATGATGAAGATGCAACACAAAGCAGATGAGAATCAACCAAGGTCCTCACAAAAACGCACACATCATCACTTCTCTTCAACACCTACTGGAATCACATGATGAAAGAATGAAAATTGGAAATTCTAGCAGGAATAAATATAACAAGAACCAGAAATTTTTGACTGAATTATAAGCAGATGACCAAGTTGAAGTAACAAACTTAGAAAAGGCATCATAGAAAGCATCTTTCAGATTAAGAAAAATACACCAAGAGCTATATATAATACACTGAAATAAAAATATCAAGTCAAAAAAACAACAACACAAGCTGTTGTGACTAAGAACATGACTAAGAACATGGAAATGTGTAATGGAAAAATCAATAATCGAACAACTTTTAAATACTTCAGAAACTCAATTGTGTTAGATTCAAAGGCTGTGAAAGAAACATTTGCAAAATATAGTAGAAAAAATAAAATAATAAAGAGACTTCAGATGAGAAAAGAAACAATTATGAGACATCACATCATTACTTTAAAGTCAGTGTTAAAGCATTGTTCAGAAAAATGGATAGTGGTCACAAAGGAAAATAGAAGCTTGGAAGTAGCTCAGATGAAGTTTTTTAAAGAAGATTTTAGGAGTAACAAGAAAAGACAAAATTAGAAAAGAAATGAACTTGGAAGATTTAGCAAAAGAAATAAAAGAATACCAGATGAAATGTAGATAGCCTGTTCAAAGAATGATTACCACAGATGGCACTAGAAAAAACACTTCAGTGTATGAAGGAGCACTGCTTTAGCACTAACTAGTAAGACAGGAATATTGTTCCTAAACCAAGAACATTGTTGATGTTTTTGTTGATGATGATGATTTCGAAGTGCATAGCTAATTTACGGAGGAAAAATTAAAACGAACTATATGAGAACAAAATGCAAGTTCAGTTAAAAATATTTGTGTGTGTGTGTGTGTGTGTGTGTGTGTGTGTGTGTGTGTGTGTGTAGAAAAATGCATAATAAATAGAAAAGAATTCATGACACTAATCCATAATTTCAAAATAATATCTTCTTTCCCTTTAAACAAGTTATTATTGGTTTACTAATCAATATTAAATTTACTCCTCAGAAGAAATCACATTTTTCAAAGGAAAAGCCACGATAATATTGTTTTATTGCCTTTAAATGTTAGGTTTGCTTTGACTGTGCATTGGCATGTTCTTTTTGCACATCTCTAATGAGTTTCTTATTATTTTACTTTATTACTTTAAGTTGGTATGAACGAAATTAATGTTTGCAAATTTCATTATTTTTTTTCCCCCTTTAAGAAAGAAACCCACTGCATTCTCAGAAGACTAAAGATGGACTTTTGTGAAAATCAGATTGTAAATTTGTGAAGAATAAATAGTATTCCTTGAAATAAATGAAAATAACTTTGAAATAGTAAATTATTTTTGGCTGCTTGCTTTTGATAATAATGCATGAACTGTAGCTTTCTGTTTAGAATATTTTTGCTATTTTGCACTAGCTGTAGCTTGCACAATAGCACAAAGCTGTGGCAAAGAAATAAGAACTAATATCGGCGAAGGCAAGTGCAGTGCTGTCTGTGTTGTTGTACCTCTGTTCCTGATCATGTATAGTATTTCTTTCTTTGAATACTTTCTTTTTAAAACATATGAAATATCTGCCTAAATTTTGTCATAAAAACATGTTCTCTCTGTGACTAATATTCTAGTTGTTTAGTTGAAAAATCTGTCATTTTATGTGCCTGTTTGCTGTAAAGAGCATGCTTCATGGTGTAAAGTTTTGGGGTAAATGTTCTATATCTTTCTCTGTGTGGGTTAGCTGTGGCTCTCTGTACATAGTGCACTTCAGTGACTAAAACAGAAATCCTGTTCATGTATATATTTTGTACAGAAAGAATAAGAAGGGTTCTTTGATGTGCTTAATATCTTGAGATAAAAATGCCTTTTATCATTACTGAAAATGAACTGTTTTGTTTTGTTAAATCCCCTTGCATATGAGAGCTGAAAGATCTTTGTGTGTTTCTGGGCTGTTGTGAAGCATGATGTATAGTATCAAACTTGAACTTAAAAGTTCTGTGTAATGCACCTTTGTTGCAGCATTATTTCTGTATCTATATCATTTTTTAAACATAAGTATTTTTTGTCAGACCTTATTATCCCTGATCTTCACTTGCCTTCACCGAACTTTGGTTCTTGCTTTCTTTCAGCCAGTGGAGGTCGAGGAAAGACAAGCCATTCGAGTAGCGAAGCTCACATAGACCCGGAGAAAACTGCTACACCCCCAGCTAAAGGAGAAGGGGAGGGGGGTATGGAAAACCCATCGGCCAATCACAATGTGAGCAGCGAGTACATCAATGGCAACCAGCAGGAGATCAAGAAGGCTGTAAAAGATGACAAAGACACTCCTGTGTAAAGGGTTTTGTGGGTGTGTGGGTCCAGTGTTCCAGTTTTGTCCCACAAGTGCAGTGGATGAATCTTGCAGAAACAGAGATGGGCTGCCTGAATATTGTGTGTGTAAAGACACAAGCACAGTTCTGTGGCATGTACTGAATATCTTGGACCAGAGCCCTAACCCTTAGCACAGTGCATCAAGTCCTTATTTTGCAAAAAATCGCACATAGTCATGTTTTAATAAAAAAAAAAGCATTGCCAGCGCTTCTTATGAAAAATGACAGACTCGTTTGTTAGATTTCCATAATTCTATGTGCTATTTTTTGGACTTAGTGCATTTGCATCCTTTCTTTGCTCTGCACTTGACTGTAATATGCACTTGGCACATCTCATAGCAATGAGCACTTAGTAATGCCTTGATAAGCACCACTAATGTTGCTGCTGTCTCCTTGCTCATCAGGTAGTACATTCCCCTCATTTAATTTACAAGAAAACCACATTGCATAACGAAAAATAAATAAGATGATACTTATATAAATCTCAGGGAGATGTCCTAGCTGATTAATTGTGAATCTTCAGATTAGGAGACTTGTGGTGTGCATTTTGGAGACTTTCCGTCCCCTAGATCTCTTTATTTTCTTGGCCGATGAAATGTTACATAAACAGGGGAATTGGTAAAGATTAAAAGATATATTAATGAAATAATGTGGTCTTAATTAGAAAATGTATTAATGTGATTACAAAAGTGTTCAGTGCTATGAGATCAGCAGTCAGTTGAAGCTAGTACTGAAAATAAGCATTGCTCCTCTTGGTTAGACTTCTATCTAATGAAACCATTTCATCCTTGAGGTATTCCCTTGACTGAGATTTGAAACTAAGGACAATAATTTAAAAGGCCAAGAGCCTTTAGGAAGAAGTCATGTGGAGTAATGCTTTTTGCAATGTAGCTCGGTAGTACAGATGTGTTCATGGAGTAGGCCCACCTCTGAAAGGTTGTGTTACTGGGAATGTTTATCATTGTGAATTTTTAAAGAGGCAGGTGCCTGAAGTAGTGTATGGATCATCACTGGACAGACAGCAAGTTGCAAACTAGCTTCCTTAAGAGAGTGCATAAAAAGTGTGAGTTTCAATGGAGACCTGGATATCAGATGTGGACAAAGAGCTGGCAAATGTGAAAGTACTGTTTAAGTGAGAAGATAATAGATAATGCCAGCTGTTCTTGTGATCAAAAGAATCCAGATGACCTCTGTGTGTGTCTGTTCTTATACCTACTATATAACTGCAATATATATTATGGCTCCCACATGGGGAAATTACTGGCCTTAACACATTGCATGGTCAGTCCATAATGTGTAAGAGCCGGTTGTGTGTTCTATGTGTATGAAACCATGCATTCCTTTTGACAATTCTCTCCATTCCTTAGCCCAATGTACAATGGACAGATATTTGCTTATATTGTACAAAATTCTCAGGCAAAATGGGAAAGGAAAGATGCGTCTCAGGTGGTTAATCCACTTTCTCAAGTTTGTGTCTTGAATACCCTGTTTGTAGTGTATTCTAAGCAAAAAAAAAAAAAAAAAAATCCCCAGTGCCTCTGTCCAAGACTGTAGTAATGGTGTTGAATACTCTTATCCAACACATATTACATTATTTAAAGGAAGCCTGTAATCTTTACTAAGTTTTATTATAATATTATTACTACATTTGTTTTAAAATTAAGACATTAATTTTAACTTTGCAACCTATAATGTTCTTAAAAAGTTCAGTATTTCTTAATAAGGATGGAAAACAAAAATTACATTGGTCATTTGTCCTAATAATAAGAGCTGTTCAAATCAGGGACCATATAATTCTAGGCTTTCTTTGTTATAACAAAAATACAATAAATGAAACATTGGTTGTGATTTTGTTATATCATAAGTTGGAAAAATGGAAATTATTTTCAGTATAATTTCGACTTGTGATTCTTATGCGTAATTTATTACTGGAAATACTGTGTTACTTTGTTGTGTATATGATATATGAGGGGGTTTGAGAGTATTTGATAACATTATTATAGAGGCACGTTTAAAAAGATACATTCCTGCAAATATTCCATATTCCATAAATGTGAATTATTATAAATAGTAATATGATTTAAAGAAGATAGAATTTTCCTTAAAGGGATATATTACTAACTTGTTGACAAGACATCTGCTCTCCTGGTGAGAAATTTTATACAACAGCATGAACTGATATACTCAGTTGATTGTTTTCAAAGTCTAAAGCAAACATTATAAGACTCTATAAAGCATATAGCATTCTAAAGAAGTGGAAGAAGATAAAATGTGATATTCAAGGAAATCATTCAAATTAATTAAAAACAAATATTTCACTTAGTTTTCCAGGTTACCAGAATAATAGAATCTCATGCAAAGTAAATATTTGATCTCACAAATTAAATCATTCCAGAAAAAAGACATTTTCAGTATACACTCAAAAGGGAGATGAATGTGTTGACTTTTATATGTAACTCAGCTCACATTGCTTCTTCCAAAATGATCTTTTGAATCTCCATTCCGTTCTCTGATATTTACTCAGTATTATTTCTACAGAAATGGATAGCACATGACATTCCATATTTGCTTTGTCAGTGTTTTAATTTTGTACTGCTCCTTTGATAGGACTTAAACCATTTTAATATTCTAATTCTTTCTCATTCTGAATAAGAACTGCTGATTGCATTACATGCTTTACCCAGATAACATTCTTGGAATGTGTGGTAAGAATAATCCACAACTTGTATGAAGTGTATAGTAAATATGTTTAGTGAAAATACCATTCATACTCACTGTTACCTTACTTAAAATTACATTTATTTACATTAATATATTTTTTATTCCTTCTTCTGCCAGACAGCATTCTGCAATACTGAAAGCTTGCAGCTGGAGTAAACATGTGAACAATCAGTAGAAAGTAACTCAGCTCATGAATATTCACACAAAAGTACTTAACACAAAAATTGAGGGTAAGATGGTGTAAAAATTACACAAAGTATTATGTACTAGATGAAGAGTCTATTTATGATTATAATATACTCTATTTTGCTGATTTATATCTAAATACCTTGTGTACTGTTCTGGCATATAACAGTGTTCTGTTTTCTGTTGAAACACAGGAAACTCCATTTATACTTCTCTTTGTATCTGGAACTATAATATTACTCAACGATTTGTGTAGAATTGTTATGTTACCTTAGGGGATTATTTTTATTTATGTTTAATATAAATAATTATATCTGTATTGCATATATCATATTTGTAAACAGTTCTATATATCATTTGTTAATGAATATTTCTTAAGATCTTACTATTTAATTTGATCACTTTTACAACAACAAACAAAATTTGAGAATGAAGCATTTAGGACTGTATTGTATTGACATGAAGAAATGTGATTTTGTCTCCATTGATTGTATAGTATTGTGTCAGAATATAAAAATATTGGTTTTAATAATCGTTTGTCATTGATTTTTTTGCCACTCAAAATTCTGCATCATTATTGGGTTTTATTTTTTCATCTAAATTGTAAAAAATTATTTTGTTCTCATTCATAACAGTTTAGTAAACACGAGGACACGTTAGTTCTTTAAGACAATTTTTCTTCCTTTGTACTTGTTGTTATAAGTACAGACCTAGGATGACAGGTCATTTAAATAAATCAGAGAGATTTGAGTGAGTATACCTGACATTTGTCTCATTGGTTTCTCAAGCAATTTCTGCAAAAAATATATTTTCAGTCCTCATTCTCATCAACAAAAACAGAAATTACTACATTAACTAAATAACTTAAAATTCCAGAAATAAATGAATACAGGCAATGCAATAATTCTTCAAAACGGTATTTAGATTTTCTTTTTCTGTTTTTAGGTGGTGTATCAAAACAAGATCCAAAGGAATCGTAAGTATCTTTGTAATTTTTAGCTGTTAATTTTTTCTGTGACTTGAATGAAAGTTATTTACCTACTGCAATGTGAGATGTGTGGAAGTAACTAACGTTTAATGAAAATTGTTGGTATTGTGGTGAGTTTTTGTTGGCATTTCCAATGAAATAATTATATGAGTCATCATTGCCAACAATATTTTTTATTAAAATAGCAGCTTTCGATGGCTTAGCCATCATCATCAGTTTTCTAGTACAAGAAGAAAAACAAAAACCCATTAAAAAGTGAATATTTTTTTATATGACATCAAAATTGTACTAAAAGATAACTAATCATTTACAATTTTTATAAAATATATTTAACATTATAAGAACTGAAAAAAAGAAAAGGGGGATGTTAAGTCATTTAATACTAAAAGAAAAGTGAATGAAATTTAATTAGAATGTAAAATTTGAAACATAAAAACATGGAATTCAGGAAAACAGGAATTCTCTTTTCTTTCTTTCAGTTCTTAAAATGTTAAATATATTTTCTAAAAATTGTAAATGATTAGTAATCTTTTATTATAATTTTGTTGTCAAATTAAAAAATATTCATGTTTTAATGTTGTTGTTTTTTTTGTTTTTCTTCTTGTACTAGAAAACTGATGATGATGGCTAAGCCATCAAAAGCTGCTATTTAAATAAATAATATTGTTGGCAATGACAACTCATATAATTATTTCATTTAATGAAAAATTGAGATATCAATCATAAAATGAGATTTGAAGTATTTCATATCTCTCTTAGGTCAAACACAATTACTGAAAATTTGTACATGGATAATAAATTTCTGCAAAATATGGACAAAGTATTTTTATTAACACTGCAGTAGATATTAAACATATTTTCTATGTCCAGAATACAATGTTGATTCTTAATTAAATCATTATCTAATGATTCTTCTCTTATTATTTTTCATTAAGAACTTTCAATTATAAAAAATATCCTAATTTATATTGATAATTATGTAAAAGATGTTTTAAGATATGATAAGTCACAGTAAATTTTAGTGGAGTTGCTGTCATGAAAAAATCAGTAGTATTTCTTATATGTGTTCAAAGTATTAAAATAGTGTGAATATAAGGCTTTCTCAAGATGTAGCCATATTTATTTCTGTATAGTACATATTCCAGGTTGTGTAGAGTGAGTATTCAAATTATGGTTGGTTACTCTGCTAATGATTTTCAGTCACTAGTTTTCTTTTACAGAATACTACTCTTCACATTAACAATTATTGCCCAATTTATTTTAAGATTTTCACAATGATCTATATTTTAGGAAGTCTAATTTGGTTTCACTGAATACATCACATTGTTTCCAATCAGTGAAGATAATTGTTATGTGCTAATAAAACTGATTCAAGCTTATTGACATGTTTATATTTATAAAGACAAATTTTCAGTAAATAATAAGAAACTTTTCAGAAAATGCATTTAGCTATTTCCTTTTCATGATATCTGTTGCAGTGCTTACCAAAATGCATTGTTCTTTAAGTTTGTTAAAATAACTTGTGAAAACGTGAATTAAAATAATTAATTAATTTTCTTCCTGACGCAATGAGGCCTATGAAAATCAGCAAGAGTTACTAAAGAGAGTGACTATAAGGACATCCTGCACATAGTTTACTATCACTCATTAAGTTAATGATAATTTTCAAAAAATAAATTACAATTCGTAATAACAACAAATTTATTTTCTCGGGTAAAAAGCAAAATGTTGCTGATGAAATTTATTTGCATCCAGCCTGTTTTGTACATACTACTAACCCTTTACTAACTGCATGATATTGCTTCGTTATTTTGCATGTTGGATTTTTGCAAAGTATCATTTTCATAACTTTTTAAGTCTGGCAATTGGAATGATCTTTTAATAATGGCTTTATAGTTATCATAATTTTTGTAAAGTATGTAAATGTGTGAGTGTGTTACACTAATGTTTTTCAGAGTGAAATTTCTTCCTGAAGAGAAAGATGCATCTACAAAGGACAAGGCGCAAAATGATGAGAATGTCCCTTTAGCTGCAACCACAAATGTGAATGAAAGGCAAGATCAAAGACTTGTAAATAAAATCCAGATTCGAAAATAGTTGATCTGATAAGTCCAGCTGCTGTGAGCAGACTTGGCGTCACCATGTGTGTGTCCTTTATTGTCAGGAGAAAATAATTATGTGGTCTTTTCAAAGCTAATGCGTTTTTAATTATGTGGCAAGGCATCATACAGGCTTCACCTTCATAATCTCTACATAAAAACATGAAATGAAATTACCAAAACCTGCTTAATATCATATTTTTATTGTGTTTTAAAAAATTTAGCTAATTAGGAATATTATTAATATTATTAGATTTGATGGTTTGCTTAATATTTCATTAAAATTTCTTCGTGCACTCAGGTTAAGTTCATGTTCATAATATCAAAAACATCAGCTAAAACATCTGTTCAATATTTCATACCTATCTCTGCAGCAAAATGCTGACATTATGCTAAGAAAGGTGTATTGAAGCAGGTTATAAAAATCATATGAATAATTTTCAATTTGCAATCTAACAACACTTATTTAATTAATACATTTATAGTTTTTTATAGTGGCCTGATTTTAAAGTTTCAAGTGCATGATATTTTCAGGGTTTAATTGCAAAATTAAATAGAATGCACACTTTCATTCTCCCTTTTGCACTTGTGTATTTTAATGCTAAGCAAGGAGCCAGTGACATAACACGTCAAAGGTTTTAGGACAGACTTGCAGTGGAGACCTTGTTTTAGATTTGCAATTATGCAGTACACTGATGTTATGCAATCTCTTCCTTTGTTATCGTTATTAAATTTTTCACAAATAATTGAACTTAAAGAGATTCAAACTATTAAAATTAAAATTTATTTTAAAAATTAATTATTTCCCATTATTTAATGTGTACTCTAACTTTTATTATCATAATGCAATATCTGCAGTTACAAAATTTAATGTTTTTAAATATACAATAATTGTTCCTCAAAAATATGAAATAACAAATCACCAAAATATGTAGGGTTTTTTTTTTTCTCACTCACAATTTTTTTTAAGAACTCAAGCATTATTAACATATGTGATTAAGAACATTTCTCAAATAAAATGTTACATTACAATGGTATTTTTGGCTCATATTATTATGCAATTATTTATTATAATTTTTGGTTCAGAAAGTAAGTGTCCTGCATTGTCAGCTGTGCCAGGTAATGATATCAAAATAAATTAATATGAAAACATACAGGTGTTTCCAATTAACTACAGTGTTGTTAACAGATTAATTAACTAATTTTTACAAACTGTGTCAATTTTGTAATCAGTCCGATAAATGTTTCCTTCAATTAACAATTGCTTACATTAAACCCACACTTTTCTAAGGGTAGGAAACAATACTTGAGTTGAAAATTGTGGGGGTCTCTAGGACAATATTGGGTGTAGTTCATCTATAGTTAATCCTCTGCTCTAAGCACGTTGTTCTCATTATTGCACAGTAGTGGTTACTAAGAACACGAGAAAAAATTAACACAGCAAATACTGTTACAGCTTATTTTATAGATGACAACTAATCAGTGAATTGATGCCTTGTTTGTTGGAGCAGAATGATCTCTATAAATTCCCTTTTCTCCTGTGCACTTGAGCAGGTGAACATGATATTTTTGTGTGAGCACTAAAATGATTTTTCTTCATCATGGTGTGTGGACTTAAATTTCTATCACATTGTATTGAGTCATTCCTAGCTTAATTGTTTCTAATTGTCTTTGTGTTTATGGTGTCCTGCAATCATTTTTTCTCTTTCCATTAATACTTCATCACACTTCATCATACTTTTGTAATTTATTTTTCAGTGTGTATAAAACAATTTTATAAGAGTGTATTTATACAGATTAATAAGAGCATACATGTATGAAAGAGCTTGTATCACTGCAGGAAATATATGCATGCTTCTGCCTGATTGCACTGCTCCAGATAAAATAAGCATGGCTTTGTCATTGGTGTAAACAGTGGTTAATGGATAAATGAAATAATGTGCATGAGAGACAAATTTCTGCATTTGATAATTTACTAAGAGAATTAATTTCTCTGTTTCATTTTGTTTTGAAATACAAATCATTGTCTGATTATGCTAGAAGAAGTATTAACTCTTGGTGATTTTATCACTGATCATTAACATGACTAATTTTATTATGCAAACAATTTCTGAAAACAGAGATGTTTTAATAGAATAGTTCCATGCAATCAAGAAGTTTTAATCATAATATTTTAAAATGTATCTAAATGAATTAACTGAAAGAAAGACTTTGATGTGTTTTAGTAGTGTATAGGAGTTCTTATTTTTGTAAATATAGTAAATTTATATGATGTATAATTTAAATAATATTCAGCTGTGTGCATGGAAGTTACTATTAAATGCCTGCTTTATACAATGTTATTTTAACACTTTTGCAGTCTTATTGTAGATACTTAACATTATATACTACTTATGTACTAAGAATTTCATGTCTTTGTAATTTTATATCAATGTTG